ACTCACACTCTCTTCATCGCAGTAATCAATCCAAAAAAAAGAGTTCAATTTGAACCTTAGATATGGTCAAAATGAGTTCCCTCCAATAACGAATCTAAACCATTCATTTGGTTAAATTTAAGATTTTAGTCTTTAAAAACTTTAAATCAGTTTTTCCTTTTTTAATATTGTTTATCAAATGATAATAAAACCATCTAAAAAAATTGGAAAAGAAAAAATCCTTATAAGGGCTAGATCTAAGCATCTTATTAAAATGGACGACCTATGTTAATAGAGTTAAAAAAATATTTTCTATGTTCCGTTTTCATTTGTTTTTTTGTAACTTTTCATTAGAATGAAAAGAGTGTATATTTCAAAATTTGGATCAAACAAATAGTCCTAACATGGTTTTTGAAGGTTGTTGCATTATATTACTATGCCACCATTGCATGAAATCATTCATATAATATTCTAAACTTTACAACCTTTCAAATTACAAAGGTTCAAGATAGAGAGAGTTGTGAAGCTTGGATTTATTAATTTTGTTGTTTATTTTTTTTAAAAAAATTACTTTTGTGGGGCAAATTTGTAAATATTGCTACAAGACAAATGGTATTTTTGTTATCTCCATAAGAAGTAAAATTGAAATTTTAACTAAATGATAAGGGCACTATACAAATAAAGTTCCAAGACTATAACTTTCAAAATGCCATTGTAAAATTTCAAATTTGCCCTTGCTTAATTGTAAAGTTACCTATTTAAATAATTGTGTAATAAAAAAGTAATGATTGTTTTGATAAATACACCTATCACAACCCCTTCTCACTTGAACCTTTGTATTTTGAGGGGTTGTTAACTCTAAACAAACCCATATATATATATGATGATGATGAAAGATGAAAGAATATGTATGACCAATGGTTTAAAAAACGGATCGGTGACCCGGATCGGGCACCCAAAAAATCGATCCAGATCGGCGAATCGGCGATTCAGATCGGGAATAGGGTGAATCGGTCAAAATAAAGCTTCAAAAAAATCCGAAATTTTTTTTAAAATTCATTATAAATATTGTTTTTTAGGAATTCAATAAGAAATGAGGGTACTCCATTAAGAATTTTCATGTTTTTGAATGAATATGCGAATATTGATATGTTCTTTCCCTGCATGAACCGCCATTTAGCATTTAATTTACATTACACAAAAGGATAAATATAGAATTATCATGGAATAAGTATATCAATATACATGGACTACAATAAAGCATAAAATTAGCAACATACGATCTAAAAATAAACTAATAGACGACGTTGTTGTTCTTCTTGGTCACGCTGGTTTCATTGATTGAATTCATTTGACAATTCATTGATTCGATCTAAAAACGAATTATCGATATTAACAGGCGTCTAACTATTCCCAAATTTCTGAGTGTTAGTGTTTTGTTTTGTTCCCAATCCAAAATCCTCGAAGCTTGTCCATCCTTCATGCTCACCTGCACTGTCGTGCTCATCCCTACACTATTGCTGTTGGGACTCGATGTGTGAATAATATGGTTGGGATAGGGTGGCCTCAGAATCATCATCTCTCTCATTTTTTCTTAGACCCCCTTCCCACTCTCCCTCATTAGGTGCAATATCACCGACATCTCCGACGAATTGTGGATACGTTGGCTGGCTGCTTGCTCTTTCATGCTGCTCATCACTTTCTTCAAGATCTTCATCACCGATAGCCTCAAGGAACGCTAGCTTGTGCAACACTGGCTCCTCCTCTTCTACTACCCATTGGTCTGCTGTGTCTGTGACAAGTATTGTGTCTAAGTCTATCAGCCCATAGTCTTCAAGCTTCCTTCTTATTTGTCGCTCTCTGAGGTTTAAATTATAGTGAACGTAGACTAGTTTATGAAGCTTCTCAGAAGCGAGTCGATTCCTCCTAGTAGTGTGCAACCATTGGAACGTACTCCAGTTGCGCTCACAGCCAGTAGCAGAACATGTCTGGGAGAGCACCTTGATTGTTATCCTCTTTAGGTGAGGTGCATAAGTACTATATATCTCCCACCATTCAGCTGGATTAAAATGCAAAAAGCATTGTAAGGGCAAGAACAATTCATAAGATTAAATATATGAATGAATAAAATATTAGTGAGGGGATAACCTGGATCCATCATAGTTCGAGAATTTCTGGCAAGTCTAGTTCCGAAGGATCCTATAGCATCCCTATACATAGCAAGCTAAAACAAATATATTACGTTTTAGTTCATTATTCTTCACAAATATAATAACTCAATGAAGTTCTTACCTAAACATTAAATAATACCTCTTGTATTGCTGCTACTTGGTTTCGATGGCTTCTCTCCAACCTTGCAATAATGTATCTGACCCCTTCCATAATCTTGAGGGGTTGTTTAGGTGTCAAATAGAAAAATTTTGGGTTGAAGTAGTAACCTAAAAAATATATAGGTAAAAAAATGTCATTTACAATTTCATAAAAAAATGATTTAAACTGAAACATTGTAATGATACAAATATATATTTACCAGCATAATGAATTGGACGTCCAAATTTGGAGTTCCACCTCCTTTCTATAATCTCAATCACTTTGCTAGCAAAATTACACTTCTCCCCAATAGCTGATTTCGCCCTCTCAATACCTTCATAAAGAATACCCATGGTAGCTTTCTTGTCAGCATCTACCATTCTTCACATCGTGACCAAAGGGGCAGTGGCCTCTACAATACTGGAACATCGAAACCATAACCGCCTATGTGAGACTATGTTGTCCACTTTTATACCGGTACTGGACTTCGAGAGGCGGTCATTTAACCACTCTTCACAGGTAAACAATCTCTTTAATGCACCTTCAGATTCTCGAATGGAGTCCACAGCTAAGTAATCGGTTGCAAAGCGGGTTATGGCAGGCCTGATTATCTCTTTTTTCTTAGATTGTTCTCTAAACCGAAATAAAGTTTTAGAGTGGTTGTATATAAATCTCGACACCAACCTTGCTTCTTGTAGAGTCTCCTTCACAATTTTGATCTCACCGATCTCCTCTAACATAAGAT